TATTATTCAATCAAAGTACGAAACCATCGTTTCTTAAAAGACATCTTGAATCTAAGCATGCCAATTTAAAGGATAAATCTAAAGAATATTTTAAGAGGAAATTATCGGAATTCAAAAACAGCAAACAACAGTACTGAAAAAAAAAAGAAAAAAAAAAAAACATTAGTTATTTTAAGAGGAAATTATCGGAATTCAAAAACAGCAAACAACAGTACTGAAAAAAAAAAAAAAAAAAAAAAAAAACAGTAATGAAAGGTTTTGTTACGTCAAGTGAAAACCTTTGAAAGCTAGTAACCTGGTAATCTAAGAATCGGTCGCGTACACTTAACCAATAACCACTTAGCCGACAGGACATTTAGCTGACACGGACACTTAGCCAACAAGACATTTAGCCGACACGGAAACTTAGCCGACAGGACATTTAGCCAACAAGGACAATTAGTCGACAGGACATTTTGCCGACAAGGACACTTAGCCGACAGGACATTTCACTGACAAGGACACTTAGTCGACAGGACATTTCTCCGACACGGACAGTTAGCCGACAGGACATTAAGCCGACATTGAGTCTAGCCCTTCCCAATGTTTTCAAATTTCTAAATTCTAAATTTCAGATTTCTAGAGTGATTCGCGCTACTCTTCGCCACCCTTTAACTACTATTTTTTTTTCTGAAATGTTATTTACACTTTAGGCATCACGTATTTATTAATTTGAGATAAGGCTCCGGCCCAGAAATTCGTGCTTCGTGGCCAACTTACAGATGTAGGACTGGTTTCGTTTGGTTTATGTAATTACGGCAAAGCCAGAGGGCTATCTGCCTAAGGGAAGAGATGCCTTCGTCGAGGACTTTCTAAGGAAAACTGACTCGTATACACTTTAAACATGTGGAAAACCAGGAAAGCACCCATGCAGCCAGTCCGTTCGCGGGATTCAAAATTCGGACCGAACTACCAGTGCTCAGCGACTTTACCGCTCGACCGCTGCTGGGCCTAACAGAAATAGAATGATCGTTTTATTTAACATATAAGCAGTCCTTTCCAATGAAATTGCTTCTTTAGGCTAGAACTTTATAAATGCGTTGCTAGAAAATGAGAAAAATGTTCCAAATCTGAAAACCGAAGTAAAATTCACTATTATTCTTGAATTATGTTTTTAAAGGAAATATTGGAGGTGGAGTGTTAGATTAGCAACTCTATTTTATTTTGTTATTAAAAATAAAAAAAGAGAATTTTCAAGATTATGGTTACTGACAAGTGATGCTTAAAAATCATTGTCACCTCACCGTCACCAGGCAGTTCATTTTACCGTTAAGTTAAAAAATAAGCAACTCTGTTAAAGTGTCGAAATCGGGCATACTCATTTTAGCCTACCAACTTTGGCCACTATATGATACAGTTTCAAAAGTTATGACTGAGAGAGCTGAATTGTTGCATAATTTTTATTTAGGAAAGAAAAATGATTGTATATACTATATATAGGGAAGAAAGATGATTAGTAACCTCTGTAACAGGGCGACGCTTCGTTCTGCTATTTTTAACCTAAGAATAAGCAATTCGTCTCATTCTTGTGGGATTAAAAGTCTTGGAACTAAATATGCGGTTCTGTAACATAATTTTTACTGACCACGCATCTTACTTAAAACTTTACTTAGAATGGTTTACGTTTTGGGAAGTAATTTGTTTTATAATGTCCTATAATGATAATTTAGAAGAAAAATATTATCAAACGTCTTTTCATTATTCAGTATTGAAGCAAAACCTAAATTTTCACTCTTCTAATTTCGAAAACGATGCTGACATCCAACTCCTCTGTCCAACTCCAGCTAGACTTTCTTTTACTTTAAACCCATCCGCTAAACAACTTGGGTCGAATTGTGAGCACGCATTTTGAGTATTATCCATCGAAATTCGATGGTGCTAAAAGCATATCTATAATTGTTAATTAAATCAATATTGTGTACTTTGTTTTGGAAGTCGTGATGGGTATTTTCAATATAATTAGTTATATGAATTTTTTTCATATAAAATGTAACTTTTGTCAATATGTATTAAGTATTTATATATATTCATGCAGTTTAGCAGTAAAAAATATTTTCTGAAAGTAAACAAAGTTGAGCATTTGCAATAGACAAATTTAAAATTGGAAGTATAAGCTTGATGTTGAGCTAATATATATTGCCAATTTTGATAAATTTATAACGAAAAATAAGAATGAAATCACTTATTTATATAAACATTGGTTAACCAATGAATTACTCGTTACTGAACGATGTAAATATTTCAGGGACATAAGTTCGAATTTATTTAGTTATTTTTATTATTTTTATTTAAAATATCAGTTCTTTTTATTTCTTTGGGAAATTCTTCAATTACGCTTATTTGTTCAATTTCATCTACAATTCTAGTGAATTATGGTTGGCGCGTTTAGCATATTAAGCTGATATTTTTGGAAAATTAGATGCATTAAATTTAAGATTGCAAGAACAAAATGTTGATTTATTTACAGTTAGAGATAAAATGAAGGCAATGATAAAAAAAGAACCTCGAGCTAATAATCAAAGAATTGTATAATAATATTTTAAGATTATTGTCACCTTTAGAAAGTTTTATAACCAAAAATAATTTGAAAATAGAAGAATTAGCATCCGATATTAAAGATCATTGCTTTTCATTGATAAATAATTTCAACATGTATTTTCCCGAGGATTATGAAAAAGAAAATTGGGTTAGAAATCCATTTTGTTCAAATATACCTGAAATTTTATCTCGGGAAGAAAAAGAACAAAGATGGAAATTTCCGCTGATCGAACCATAACTGAAAATTTCAAAAATAATACACTTGTTAACTTTTGGCTTAACCGAAAAAGAGAATTTAGAAGCATTTCCAATAAAGCTATTAAATTTTATTGCCTTTTTGCATAACCTATATGTGTGAACAAGATTTTTTCTTCCAGATTTTTTCATGTTATGTTTAAAAAATAAATACAGAACAAAATAAAATGTCACTTCTAATTTACACTGAAAACTAAGTGAAATAAGACCAGACATAGAGAAATTGATCTCTCTTAAACAGGCCCAAATTTCGGACTAAATGTTAGAATTAAAGTATTATAATTTAAATTTTGATAATTAAAATGGTAACCAATTTTTAATCTAATATTTTTATGTGTGCATATTTAATTCAAATAGCCTATGGGTTGTGCAAATGGCAAAATATATTTTAACTCAAGGGGCGTTAGCCCAGCAGGGCGGTTAATTTCAAAACGGCATTTTGCCTAGATTCACTTTTCAGATTGTTTCCACCAAATAATATGGCTCTGTATTATATATAAAGAAACTAAATAATGAAGAATCTGCAAGAATGTTTCTCGTATTGTGGAAAAACAACAGTACCTAGAGCCATCAAATTTTAAATAACTTAGTCTTCCAACCGAACATATCCACTTGGAAGCCCGAATTTTGAATTTCGATTAACGAATTTTTGATTAACTAACTCAACGATATCAAAGCGAGCAACGGCAATACTGTACGGAAAAGAAAAAAAAAACATTTTTATGTCCAGCCCGCGAGACTGTGTATCGGAAATTCTATGTTCTTTTAAATATTTTATGCTATTACTGTTGAAGTGAACTTTATGGCTTAAGGGCGAAGAACATAAAGGTAACACACAAAACTTTAAAAAACGCCCCTTTGGACGTAATATAAAATCTGAAAGCTTTCAATTTTTTTTTAATGTTTCTATTTAGAAATTAAAAAATTATCATTGTAAAATGTATTGGTGATACTAAAAAGATTTCCAATTTTTGTTTAGGTGGTACGCGTTTCTCAAAAAGTTGAGAACCGCTGGTTTAGAGGAATCATTTTGGAGCGTAAGCTTAATATTTATTCTCAAAATAAGTATTAAACTGTATATATTTTAACAACTGTGAACTTATTTGAGCATTATTGGGAAAATATATCATAGAAACTTGCAGCTAGTAAAGATGAGTTCCATGAAATGTCATGATTAGAAAATTAATTTTTTTAAAGGGGGGACGGTTCAGTATACGGTTTTGCACTATTGCTACTCTCAACAATAAGTAGATCAGAAAATCAATACTGCAAAAAACTAATTTCTCCTTTAAAAGACAATTTTAAGCCTGATATTGGTAAAATATTTTGAATGCTTTAAAAAGAATTCTGCCTAGAGCTAATTTGCATTCTTACTGCTTATGATTTATATTCATTTAATATTTTAATAAGCAATACTGTCCAAACACTTTTATGGTGTAAATTACATTTTAAACTGCTGTTAGTTTACAATCGCTCTTTGAAAACTAATCCTCATTTGCATCAAAACTTGTCATTTAATTTTAATTTATTATTATAAATTTTAAGTTCTTTTCAGTTTAAATGTATGGCTAGAAAATAGAAGAAAATTAAATTTAGCTAAATTATATTTCTTATAAAATACTTCAGAAAATAACATTCACATATAACATCTCATCTGTATCTCATACGAAAGAAAACTAAGATAAGATTTTGTTTAGTTGAGATAATCTAGTCGAGAGAAAGGAAGAGAAAGATTTCAGTTATAGTATTGACTTCAATTTAAAATCCGATATCTTTGAAGATAAAAAAAAATAGGAAAAGAGTAAGCTAATATGTTTTCCAAAACAACTAGATTTAACGGAAACATGACCCTTTGTATTAAATAGTAAACTGCTGTAATAGTATTAGATTTGTATACCTTTTGCCAATAAAACACGAGCAAGGATTTATCCCTCTGCATCTCCAGAATTTTCCTGAAACCTAAAATCCTTATTCTGACATTCTTTTAATTAGTGAAAGAATTTTTAAGTGTAAATATATTCCATAAGCGATTTAGGGATATGCTTTATATATCGGTACGTTATGTAATTCATGTGTTTTTAATCTTGGAAGACACAAAATAATAAAAGGACATTCATTTGCGGTACATATAAAACACAAATTTTGAGTCATGAAAATTTCTTACTTACCATAATCTTTTTCAGTGCAGTAATAACAGTTTTCCAGCAATGGAAATGTGTTAGGAGCATGATAAATTTCCCAGAATCATTATAATAAAAGAATTGTCTCATATCTAACTGCCTCTTCTCCCACCAATAGCATTCAATCTTAAAGTCACATGACTCGAAGTTATCTTGCCAGCAAAAATCACTATTGTTCCCATAGAGTAGTAAAAACTTAATCACTTGACTTCCTATAAAGAAATCAAACCGCGTGATCAAAATAAAAACAACTACGAAAATATAAGATATAGACTGGAAAAAAAGGCAAATAATCTTTTATTTTTAGGCAAATAAAAGAACACAATGGTGTGATAATACAATCGCGTTGGCGATAATATGCAAAACGAAAAAGTACGTAGCTGTGCTGATCTGAAGCGGAAGGCCAACAATACTCTCGAAAACTGTCACAAACTGGTTGTAACTGAAGCATTTAGAACCGCCAAGATATAAAATTACTGTCTTCCAGGTTTAAAGAAGTGCGGTAGACCGAAATTCCGCTTAAAGAATTTGATTTATTATACTTTTTTACAGGAAAAATTAAATTTGATATCATAATTTTTACCTTAATGTGCTTATAAAGATTACATCTGAGAAGTCTGCAAAATTTAAACACCATAAATGTTTACTTTGAGCACTCAGGAAAATGAAATTTTGAATATACGTATCATGTTCAAATAACTTTGAAGATATATATATATAATCTTTATAATACTATAATGTATATAACCCTTATATTCTTAAGAAACAATTATATGTTTATAAGGTGGCATCAAGTGTTTCAGTTTAAAATGATAATTTCAAAATATGTGCCAAAAAATGGATTACCTTTCCAACTAATTTTCATTAATTTATTCACTGATATGATTACCCAGAATATGTACGTGTTTATTGTATTTGAAGTAAATTATTTCTGGATTTGAAATAGAAATTTCTGTTATCTTTAATTTAACCAAATCAGCAGCGTTGTTTGATAAACCTATATTCTCACTTGATGTGCCGCGAAAAAAATTCGAACAAAAGAACGTCATGAACCAAAGCATTTCCAGCAGACTAATCAACCTAAGATCAGCATACAAGAATATTTCAAAAATGTGTTTAATACATTGTATAAATATGAATAAATGTTAAAATTTTAATTAAATCCTTGTGTACTGCTACTATTAAAATGCATTATAATTGGTGCTATTTATGTTCAGAGCTTTGCTGTGCCTTTTCCTCTTGCAAATGATATTTGGAAATTACCTGCAGCAAAAGTAAAGGATAACGTTTCAAATAATTTTATTAATTTCTGTTAAAGATATCTATATTGTGACTTCAGTAAAATAAAAACACTGTACAACTTGCACGCAAATATATAGAAATATTGTACATTTGATTAAATGCTTTTTTCTATTTTCTTCCCATTTACTGCTCTCTAAACAGCAAAGACTATCTATATTTTTTAAGATTATCTATTTTAATTTTTTCATTCTAGTACGCCACCTTTGCTCGAGCAAGAAGTTCTTCGCTTTTAACGAAAAAAAAAGACTTGCTTGTTTACTTAAACCTTGAGATAGGATGCTGGAATGAATTTTAGTTCTAGAACATTTTATTTTTCAGAGCTTATGCAGTCACGGTGGCGTAAGACTCTAGATAAAAATATTCAAAACGTCAGCACGTAACTATAAAGTTTTAGTATCGTGATTTATTAATGCAGGAAATTTTCTCTCTCTCTACTCAAGAATTTCATATAAAAGCATTAACAATTCGTACATAGCCCGATTACCTGAACTGCTATTGACTGACACTATCTCAAGCGGACGAAAGTTTGTATGAAACGGGTATTCCACCCATTTTGATTTTAAAATGAAGAGTGTGACAAATCATATAGTATAAAATCGTCGAACTAGATTTTATAACTTACGTAATTTAGCTTAATATATAAAAACAAGAAAATATATGTAAAATAAGAATTTGTAAAACAAAGTTGTAATTTTAATTTAATATAGTCCCTTAATTCTCTATTTTAATTCGTGTCTTTCTCTTTTAAAAATAGAAATTGCTTACAATAATTCTTTCTAAACTGCATCATTTCAAAATTATAACCATCAGATGACTTTTACATAATATTGGTGACGTATATGATATTGAGAACTGTTAACCAGAGAACAGGGGCTCCATTACCTAGCTGACATGCTGTCTGCCTTACACGGATTAAAGCCCCTGCCTCCAGAAGCTATTTATTATGACTAAGCAGAAAAGTTTACAGTGGCATACAAGGCCTTCAAGAACACAAGAACATAAGTACCATAGTCATAATAGACCCTAAAGAAAGATGTTACAGTGTACCTACAAGCATTCAAACAATTTCAAAAAAACTGAGTCCAACTAATTTAAATAAAAAACTATGGTACAAACAAAAATATAATACATCCATTACTGTTTATACACAATTAATATCAATTAGATTCACAATTTCAAGAAGAACCATTCAATTTAGAAAAAAAAAATGCATAAGATAAACTACGACAATAATAAACTGCCAACAAAAAATTTTTCATATGAATTCAGAATTAAGAACCAATAACTTTGATAACTGAACAATATTATCATAAAATACACTGAACCTGAGATAATATTACAATGCAAAACATAAATTTGTTTTAAAAACAAACCACTCCAAGTAATATAAAAACTCTACATCAGGTTTGCTGGCAACGCATAGATAATACAGAAATACAGACAAATAATGCCAACATAAGATATGAAAAATTTCCAATTTCAAAAACCACATTCATTCAAAAATAAGTCAAAGAAAATTATTATAAAAATACTGCCTTAAATGCACATTTACAATAGAGAGAACTCAAGAAACCAATCAAATTCACAAAACAAGTCAACTATTCAATCAGAAAAGTGGGCAAAAAAGGTATACAAAATAATTATTCTAGATTAGGTTTTCTGGCATCGCTAAAAGACAAATGCAATACTAAAAAATGCCGACATAAAATTTACAGAATTTCAAAATCAAATACAAAATGCATTCAAGATTAAAGTAAAGAATAATATAAAATAACTATCATGAATGCAAATTTTAGAATAGAATGCACAATTAATGCCTATCAAGTTCACCAAAGTGAATCAATTCAATTACAAAGAACGCATTAAAATATGCAAATAATAAAATTGTCGCAAAAATTTTCTGTTAAATTTAATTAAACAATTACAAAACTGAACAACATAATCATGATATATATATATATATATATATATATATGATTAAGAACGATTTCAGTACCATACAACAAATAGTATGTGCATCACAAATAAAACCGACTATTTGTACAATATAAGAAAGTAATAGGCTACAAGTAACCGTACAATTTATAAGAGCATAGATGCATTCAATGTCAGATACGTTGTTCTACGTAAAAACCATTTCTAATTTTAAATCAGTAACATAAGTAGTGGAAACAACAAAACTGAACAATAATAAGCATCAAACACACAAAGTTAAACAATTACCATTATACAGTAAAATCTAACAGTCGCTGAAAGTCAATATCTCACTCCCAATAGAGATGATCTGAGAGAATTATTTACAGAAAATTTAATTCCTGACAGAAAGAAAAGCATAATTCCTTAAATTTCTTACTCTCACTAGAGTTTTTTAATATCAATTCAGCCCACATTTTGGCCTGTGTTGATCTAAAGGTTATTCAAGTGAAGGTTTTAGTAAATGGACAGTGAAAGATAAGTGTTCAGGGTCTCCCAACTCCCCGCAAGAACAAAGCTCAGTCGTACGTAGTCCAAATCGAAAGAGATTATGTATTAAAAGGTCCATGACCAGTGAAAAATTGAGTATAAAAATTCGATGTGCTTCTTTGACTGAGTGAAACTTTTGGAAAGAAAGAGAAGACTCGTCTTCCTGTGGAGTCATTAGTCCATCTTTCTGCCTTTCACAAGCAGTGTATTTAAAGTCTCGCTCTTCAAGTGTGAAAAAGGCAATTTCGTTGGATTTTCAATTCCGTTGATATCATTAGCAGCCCATTTAGCTAAAGTATCTGCTTCTTCGTTGTGATATTGAGAACTGAAATCAAACAGCCAAAAATAATTTTACAGCATTATTTATCAGCCAATCAAGTGGTATTGAAACAGAAACTAATTCATTCAGTTCGCCTAATCTTCAACTTCTTCATACTGCATTTACAACATATCATTATGACTATATGGCTAATATCTTCAAGTTTCTTCTTCATCTGTCTTCAAAAAGTTTCAAATTACTACTATACAGACATTATATATTCTTATTTATTTCTTTGTACATACCTTAATACGCATAGTAATCTTAAGAATTAAATTCATACTGTATTTACCTTTGTATAAATTGGTAGCACATTGAAATTTAAAGTATTAAAATAATAGTTAATAATAGTATTAAAATAATAAGCAGTGGAAACAAAGTACTTCGAATATTTTTAAAACATTTTCAGAATTTGCTTGCATCCATGGGATATGGTACTTCACTCATTTTTACAGAAGCTTTTTCTTCAAAGTATCTATAGATTTTGTCTTTCTATATTCATACATAAAAGTGCAGCTTCTATGGCTTGAAATAAATCTGCATTAAAAATTTTGCATTCGATTTCTTGTATAAAGCATGCAAGAAATCGAATGCAAAATTTCATTCATGACAGGCTTAATGAGGAGTCATAAAAAAGCTTGTAAGGTAATTACATTTCTCCCCATACGGGCGTTTCTTACATTCAGCTAGCAAATGGATACTAGGTTCAGATCTCGGCAAAGACAAAGTTGATTTTTCACGGTTTTGGCTTCGAAAACTTAAAGGAGTTCCTTAGACAATATACGAAGTAGTGAGTGAGTGAGCGCCACCAAAGAAGACCACTGGACTGGCCTTACACTCACAGTGTATTATCTTCCTGGCAGAAACCATCTACTCTGCTCCACCCTGCTCCGGAACGCAGCCGAATAGACAGCTAAGAGTCTCATAAAGTCTACATGTAAGCTTGCATGCTGTTGTTAGGGAAAAGATTATCCTGTTAGGAACTACTTAAAATTAAGCAAAGAAGCAATCAAAATACTGTTCAGAATCGCTGTTAGAATAGACAGAAACTTGTGTTAGATAAAGTAAAGAGAGGAGGTCTCGCCTGAAAAATTAACAGCCGTGG